TTTTGGTGCAGTCAAAACCTTGGAGGGGTTTGTTTGGTTCTGTCCATTCTGTTGCTAGAGGTTGATGATTTAGGACATTTCTAGCTTAAATTTTACTGGCCATCAGTATCGTGGCATTTGCATTTTTGAAAAAAAATGCGTGATATTGTTCAAGATTTAAAGTCTTCCTATGGCAACGTCATGAGTTTGACCTTGTATTAAGTCAGTAGTGTCCTCATATAACCCTTGAAGTACATGTTTTCGCACATATGACTTGCCTTCTGAAGTCAGAAGACAGATATGGATAATGGTGGTAGAAGTAGCAATGGTGCATCTCCTGTAGAACAAGGATGGATAGAACAAGCCAGTCTGTTATTCCTTGCTTCTGGAGTAATGCGAAAATACCAATTTGGAATCTCTCCCACAAGAAGATCTGCAAGTTCTGAGTAATCTCTGGAATTTCTTAGGGACGGTTCCACAGATGGTTTTCAGTGGTATGTTAACAGGACATAAAGCAAGAAGTCACTTGAATTGATGTTTTCTATATGGGTAAATAAGTCTGTATTACATGTTTGACCTCTTAGGAAAGACGGAGGCTGGAGGAAGTTACTGAGTCTGTACTCTAAAATGCAGAGTATTGTGGGCTATTTGTTGTTGCTGTGTGCCATCAAGTTATCTCTGACCTATGGTGACCCTATGAATGAATGCCCTCCAAAGTGTCTTGTCTTTCACAGCCCCACTCAGCTCTTGTAAATGCTAGGCTGCTGCTTCCATTAATGGAATCAGTCCTCATATGAGGTCTTACCTCTGACTTTCCCTGGTGAAAAGGACCTTCTCCAGTGAGTCTTGCCTTCTGATCATGTTCCTCAAGGGCAACAGCTTCAGCTTCATCACTTTCGCTTCCAGGGAAAGTCCTCTCTTGATTTGATCTAAAGTCCACTTGTTCATCTTTATATCAGTCATACAAATTTTATTCTAGCTATCCCCTATTTCCCACCCCTATAGAAATAAATACAGTCCCTACATTTCTTAGACATGAGTCTCCTTAAAATTGATCAAACATCTCACTAGCTGTGTGATTAGATATTTTGGCTGGTGAATGAGATTAAATGTTGAACAGGAGATGACAGTCCATGTTAAACACTAAGTTACTTGAGGCAGGGGATGGTGGCACAGCTTCACATCTACCCCAAGGCCCCCCTTGATTTTCTGTTACTTTTACCCTGTGCTTTTCACTGAATCTCTAAAGGTAAGCCGAGCTTCGGCATATTGTCCTGCCCTGTGCCAGTATTGACTGCTGTTGACTTGCAAAGCAGTGAAGCTACCTACACCTGTAGACCAGTTTGGCTTCCACATGTCTCTCCATCCTCATCATCTTGGTAAAAAAGCAAAGGTTGTTACCAAAGGTTCTTGTTAACACCTTGGAATGCTTATAAATGGACTTTTGTTGAAAGAGAAGATGACATTCCAGGCCAGGTGGTTGAGGTTCTTCTGGTTTAAGGTTTGTAAGCATCATGTTGTGTCTAAATTATAGTTCGTCTTCACAAAATAGGACTGCAGAATAGCTTTTTAGCTGTCTTGGGTCCTCTTACAATGTGACACTTAGCAAATCAACTCAAGTTTATTTCCTTTAAATTCTTTATCCTGCTTCCCACATCCCCATCACTGTTTGGTGATTTTTTTTTTTTTTTTGAATTAGCTTTAGAAAAGATTACATGGATAAACACAGTATTGTCGTCGTTAATAGAAACCTGTGCAGTGAGGTCTAGAGGGCTGCAAGATCAGTAACAGTCCCAATGACAGTGAAGTATGGCCTTATCAAAAGGCGAATTCATAAGAGGCTGCCCTGGGACACTCCGCCACTGTCCTTCTGTGTATCCTGACAATGTTATCTGTCCTCTCAGTACGGAATATCAAATGTCTGTCATGAGTATAGAAATTAATTTAATGTCACCTGAAGACATGCAATTAATCTTTTGGAGGTTTTCATAATACCTTTACAGAAAGAGTTGCCAGTTTGGCGGATTTGGATTTTGGGGTTTAGTTGAAGATAAGGAAAATTAATTTTTCATCAGGGTTAATGCAAGCTAGCAGGGCTACAAAGGCTGAGAGAGATGGTTGGGGAATTTGTCAAGTGTTGTCACTCTGGAATAATGCTGCTTAACGTCTGATAGGTGTAATCAAGAGTTGAGATTTCTATAGAAAGGGATTAATCAATTTGCTCACTATAGAATGCACATTGGTGATATCTCTCATTCGTGGGGTTTTAAGAATTAAAATAAGATCTGATCTGTCAAATTGCAAGAAGCTCTGACAGTATCAATGGGGCAGGGTTTTTTTTATCAGGACATCCTTGAAGCATTTGTTATAAATAAATTTGTCTGGCTCATAATATTGGTGGCAGACAAACTTCATCGTGCACCTGCCAGGGCATTCATGATCGAGTGGACAGCTTACAAAATTCTGGACTCCTGCATAGGTCTAACTTATTACAGCCTGCTTTCTTCTTCTTTGCAGTAGTACAGAATCTATTAAATTTCTGGTGGTTCTAAGTTTGCATTTCTTCAAATAAATGATAGAACTGGAATCAGTCAGGTCTTTAAAAAAGTTTTTGAACTACCTACCTTTGCCACCTACGTGGGCCTCTAACAGGATATGCAGGAAGGAAATAAAGCTTTAATACCACATAAATAGGATGTCCATTTGCACACATGTGGTTTTAACACCTTTGCTTTCTCCCATCATTTCAGAATTGGTACAGTTTAGGTCCTTTAATACTAATAACTTGTAATAAAATATCTGGAATAAAGGGGGTGCAAGTATGTCATTTACTGTCTGTTCATATTTTTGCATCTGTAGGATCTTGTATTTGCAGATTACCAGAGTTCAAAATGTGCTATTATTGGAGCTCTTGTCATTTTAGCTTTACTGTCTCAGTAGATAAGCTTTTTGAGACACATAATCCCACCCTTGATGTCACTTAGCATACAGCAAGTATTGACACTTTGAAGAGCATTGGAAAATGCTGGTCTTAATTCAACATGAGAGCAGCCTGCGCTTCATTCTTTTACAATTTAAGGGTCCAGCAAATCTACTAAAGTAACCCCTGTGCATCTCTCAGTTAATAACTGAATTCTGAGAGTTGCTGCTCTGGCAGATAAGTGTTAAAGTTCAAGAGCTGTGTGTGGCATTGTTGTTGCAGGGAGGTTGCATAGTTGCTATACCAGCCCAGAGGTTCTTACATACTGAGAAAAGGTTGAGATAAGGCAAACTCCGTAACAAACAATTCTACTGTGTATCAGTCTCACATCAATGTTAAATTTCCATTAAAATATCAGGAAGCATAGGTCTCAGGAATGTGTGTGGGACAACATTAGTTTTAATTCTGAAAGTCTAGGCTGATTCTTTTATATACAAATAACAGAGTGGCAATTCATTAAATCAGAAGTGGGCAGCTTATGGCTTTCTAGATGTTTTGGCCTATATCTCCCATCACCCCTTACTGTTGACGGGGCTGGCTAGCGCAGTTGGGAGTTGTAGATCAAAACATTCAGAGGGCTGCATGTTGTCCACCTCCGCTCTAGATGGATCCACTTAGCTGTGCTTGACTCAAAGATCTCTGAGAACATTCTAGTGCCATGAGCACGATGGATTGGCATCACGGGCCTATAAGAGCAGCTCTGCTGAATTAGACCAGAGGTTAAACTAGCCATGCATAATCTGTCACTCAGTTGCTAGCAAGATGCCAAGGTACTGCATCTGTTCTCCCTCCGGCAGCAGGTATTCAGGGGTTCATTGGCCTTGAATCTAGGGTCCCATTAAGCTGCTGCTAGGTTAGTAGTAGAGAGGGTCCTCTCTTCCTTGAATTTATCTATTTCCCCTTTAAAAACCATCTAAGCATCTGGCCATTGCTAATCCCTTTGGGAAACTGTTGTTTGTGGTGTCTTATTTGAAGGAGGACTGTTTTGCCTGACTTGAATCCACTCTCAGTCAATTTCATTGGGCAACTATGAGTAAGCTTATCTGTCGTGGGGGAATTCTGTCCATTCAATTCATAATTTTATGAACTACATTCATGTCCTCACTTTTCTGAACTCAGATGTCGCAATGCTTTCCCCCCTTTCTCTTAAAGAATGTGCTACAATTCGTTGTTCAGGTAAAACCCTTTTCTTCAATCAAGGACCTGCTCTTTCAGTTGAAGCTTCCTCCAGACTGTACTGAGAGGCAGAAGCTGGGCTATTCCACCAGCTTTGCTGAAATGCTTAATTTATTTCTCAGCCTTCCCTTGCTCTTGTATATCATCCTTTTAGACTGTAAACCTGTGAGCAGGGACTGTCTTATTTTACTGATTATATGTAAGCTGCTTCAGGATCCTTTTTGATTGATGAGCAGGACAACATTAGTATTTATTAAATTAATAAATAGGCTGATGCCAGTGGCAATAGGCCAAAACAGCATGCAGCTGGCATCCATCGCTGCCGTCAGAGTTATTTGATCCCATTTTCTCCATACCTGCATAACCTCATGCATTCGGGTTTGATCTATGAAGATGCTTACAGGAACCTCATCACAGGCTTAAGTGTTGGACTGGGGAGATATGGATTGTAGTTCCAAGAAGCTCACTATGTAATTTTGGGCCAGTTACTGACTTCTCAGCTGGTCTACCTCACAGGGTTGTTGTGAGGACAAAATGGAGAGGAGGATTGTGTAAGCTTGTAGAGGATTGTGTAAGATTGAGTTCCTTGTAGAAGAAAAGAATATAATAAAGAGCCATCATATAGGGAAGACCATGTACAAAGTTCTCTTTCCCCTTCCAGTGTCTGGATGCTCTTTCTACGTAGCATAATCCTAGATTTGGAGACTGATAGCGGAAAGTGTGTTCTTTGCATGCTGAACAGGTTGTTCTCTGTACGGTTGCTCAGGGAACGGGTGCTGTGTTTGTAGTTTCTGAACAGTATTATTATAATGATTTCATGTTTGTGTTTATTTAATTTCTAACAATATGTTGTCTCCCCCCACAGGGTGGTGAGAATGTTGGCTTTTCTCACTCGGAGGGGCTGCCCCACCGGCTCCAGCAACTGCCAGAACAGAGGCATCAGCCAGTGCGGAAGGTCACCCTAACAAAGGGAACAGTCCAGCAGCCCCATCAGCCTCACCCACACCCGCTGGGTCAGAGTCACTCCACACTTCCTCAGGGGCTGAAAACCATCCCAGGGATACATCAAGTGAAAAAGGTGTTGATTCAAATTTGTACCCTCTATGGAATTCCTATAAAGCTATAACCTGAAACGACTTTCTGACTCTGAATCAACTTTTCTTTTTTTTAAGTAACCTAGTTGAGAAAGAGTTTGAAGTAAGAATCTTTCTAGATTGACAGTTTGAAGCTAAACTAAGACACAGCATTTGCCTTGTGTCCTACCTGCATGGGGCTGCTAAGGTACCTTTCCCAGACCTGGTGCCTCCAGGTGTATTGGGCTGCCAGGTTAGTTCTGCTGGTCAGGGGTGAAGGGTGATGTAGCCTAATACTTTTGGAGGAGCTCTTTTAAAGGCAGTTCATAAAATCTTTTCAGATAGTCTGTGTCTGCTCTGGTATTATAGAGATGTCTGGGACTATCGGCTTCCCTATTTTGCAGATCCTTAGCAGTAAATTGCCACTTGGTGCGTCAGTTGTTGTCCTCTTCTTATTAGACTTGTCTCAAAGACTAGCCACAACATGCCAGCTCTAGTGTAGGGAGGTCTGACTTGGGTTGATGGCACTGCTGGAAATCAAGAGCTTGGAGGGCTAAGAGATACTTCTCCATCCTGCCTTGGTGGGTGGACAGCTGTACAGTCAAAGCTTAACACTTTTCGGGGAAACAATATCAGCCTTTTGAGCTGTCACTTCCCTCCTGTCTGGAATGAAACCCTTGTTATGTTGGAGTTTCCCTACATTTTTGTATTTAGAACATGCAACAATCTGAGAGATGTTTGGCTGTCAGTCTGACAAATGAGCAAATGTGCAGGCCTTTAAAATTTTACTAACAGCAACATGACACCTTTTAATCGGCTTCTGCTTTCATCATCTTCTAAGTGAATTACTAACTTCCGTGTTAAACCTGTCAGATTTGGTTAAGTGGAAGCAAGCAAATCAAAAACGCAGCTCACTTTTCTTCTTGGCAGGTCATTCCGCATGGGAGAGGCAGAGGCATGGCGGGCCAGATGGGCCGTGGACGCCTGATGCCAAATAAGCAGAATCTGCGAGTGGTAGAGTGCAAACCTCAGCCCTGTGTTGTGTCAGTTGAAGGGCTTTCTTCGTCAACCACGGATGTCCAGCTGAAAAGCCTGCTGATGTCGGTAGGACCCATTCAGGTAGATCACCCTGAGCTCATGGTACTTGTGCCAGAAATCTTTCATCATGCAAAGCTCAGTGCCCCAGACAGAGGGTTTTTAGTAGTTTATTACATGTATTTAAAGATTGCTCCCCAGAAACATGGTGTGTCTGAAATGAAAAAGCTTCTAGATCAGAGAGCAGTATTCAGCTGCAGCACCGGAAGCGCAGTAGAGAATTGTGGTTCTCATTGTAAGTTGCTCACAACCTGCGATGCATCCACAAGGCTGCTCTTGCGGGGATGGGGGCAGAATGCAAGTACGAAAATGCATGTCTACAAGAGGCACTGGTTTTAAGTCCAAAGAAGAAAATATTCTGTTAGCTAAGAAAAGTTCTCTACTTGCTATTCTTACCTACAAACTCTTCTCATGAGCAAGAAGTGGATTTGGATGTATCGCCCCCTCCCTCCCCCTGTGCTACAGTCAGAAGCAGCACTCAGACATAACAATTTCCTCACTGTTTCCTTCCCAGAATTTCTAAACACTCACTTGCCTAAGTTAGGTGCAGTGCCAAGATTGTTTGAATAGGTTTTAGTAAGGATTGAACGGGGGAAATACATTTTATATGAGTGCTTTCTATTGATTAAAAAGTGCCATTGAAGCACTGAGTCCACCAGTTCTTAATATTTTGTTGCTGCTTATGTAAACCAGGAGCCAGCCATTTGAGTAGCACTATGATATTTATGGGAAAATATCCATTGTGCATTATGATGGTTTTCTGCTTTCCAAAAGTACAAAAACAAACCCCTCTCATCTTTCTGTGCAGGCCAACAAATGAGTTCACAAGTGGCCCAGTATTACAGGAGTCACTTGAACTCTGTATCAAAGTTATTCATTTGACAGTGCAAAGCATTTAGTCAGCTTTGTTCTAATCACATTGTTTTGCCAGGGAAAGTGGTTAGTGGTATTTTGTGAAACCAGTCTCTGCTAACCTCAGGATTTTCTGTTATGTAAATTCTGTCCACTGAAAGAAGTGGCACATTGTTTCCACTTCCACTGTTGTGCATATGAGCTCATGGACTCGCAGTTTAGAGATTTCCTAATCTTAAACACTAATACTGACATAGCATCCTAAAGTGTCAGTCTTATGGTTTGTGGTGTTAGGATAACTCACTACACTCGGTCCTAAAATCATGGAATCCTTCGCAGCCATGCTGCCAGGGAAATAATGCAGTGAAACACCTAAATTCCAGGTGGGTGAGTTGTGGTCCTCCAAACATTTTAGCCTACAATTTGCATCAAACCTATCCAACATAGACATTGGTGAGAGTTTATGCACATTATCAGCCAAAGCACTGGAAGGACCCCACTCTAAATAGCATTATATTGATGAAAGCTAGACTTATTTGGGGAAGTAGTCATGTACTAAATATTCTGCCTTACCACTCCTTAAACATTTATTTGTAAATGCAGGCTTTCTTAAAGTGTGCTGCTGGGCTTGACATGGCCAATGTAGGGTCATCACCATTATCTATAAATGTACTTGTTATGTTTGGCAACCTTTGTAGTGGGGTTGGATAACTGTATTTGTACACATGCAGGCACACCTAAAGGGGATCCATCTGTGGTTTTAGGAGAGGGCAGAAACTGATCATCCCTTTTTCAGTGTGTCCCTCTTAGCATTCTTAGAGTAAGGGCACAACCTAGTGCTCACTTAGAGTAATGTCAAGGATCTGTTTCCATTTGTTTTACCTCCAAGAGAGAATATAAAGTTAGCAGCTTATGCATGGAAAGTTGCAAAAGGATTTGAAAGAAATAGACATATCCTCACATATAGGGAATTCTGCATTGATTGAGAATGAACTGAACCATCTTATGTTGCTGGCTAACATTTCTTTGTACTCTGTAGAACTGGAGAGTCTGCAGATCTTTTTCCCAGCCCTTGTATTCTTGGGTGCTCTCATTTCATCTCATGCGTCACTTGCAGCTGTTTCCAGTGACACAGATATTCTCCTTGAGTTGCTGTAATCTTGCTTTGCCCATTTGCTTTAAATTGCTAGTCTTTCTTACATCTGCCTTCTATGTACATGCAGGAAATGAAATGGGCTAGTAGGCTGGAGTAGCAATGAGTCTCTTGTCCCCTCCAAAATTCTCCTTGTGTTTTAAAAACCATGTAACCAGAAGCAAGCCAATTGCAGTGTGTAGAATGCCCTGTGGCAAACCTTACTTGAAGCCCCACAACTGCACCTGCAGGGCATGACTTAGGACTGTTTTACATGTGTTGCACCTTGCTGCCAGCAACCCCTTTCTTTCACTGGGTCTGGTGCAGGGCAACATGGAAGTCACGGATGTGATCTGCTATTGAGATTCAAGCCAGCTCCTGTCTGCCTTACTCTGCCTGTTGGTATTGTTGGCCGTACCAGACTGTAAGGCTGTGCTGACAACCTCCATGGATGAAAGGCCATCTTTATCATGGGGACATAGGAGCGGAAGGCATTCGAATGCAAAGATCTCAGGGTCTGTGCACAGACTTGTTGCAGCTCCCATTAGCTTCTTTCAGTTAGGGCCAGCTGGACCAGTGGCAGGAGGGGCCTTAACTCTATAGCAAAGTGCACATTCTCCAATTCCTGATGTTTCGCAGGCAGGGCTAGACTGAAACCCTGGAGAGCCGCTGCCAGTTGGTGCCAGCAATACCAGACTTGATTCACAACTGACGTGACCTAATATAAGTTTTCTTCCCCTTGTTTTATAAGCAGTGATCTGTTCTGTCCTTCATGACAAAGCTTTGTCCTGGAGCAGCACATTCCCCTGCAGTATGGCAACCATTCACTTGCATAGGGGAGAATGGAAGGGTTTCCTTGGGCCTTCCATTAAAGCTAATCATTTCCTTCTCCAGCAGCTAACAGTCAAGTCGTTGGGTTTTGTTTTGTGTTGGGGGGTTTTTTTTGGTATCTTGCTCATGTTATTGTGTGAAAAAGTGATGGAAGCAAGGTGTATAGATGGGCGTATATGTGTACTAATAAGATATGCAGAATATCCTGACAGTTTAAAACATTCTTGAATGAAGAACAGTTAAAAAGTGTGTAGTTTACAAGCAGGTGAAACAGACATCTTGTGTGGTTGATTTGAACTCCTCTTGGAGAGAGAAAGTGTGTTTCTTTCTCTGCTTCTCTGTACATGCCTCTCTCACACTCGGAATGTGTGTCCACACACACACATTCCTGAAAGTACTTAAAATATGAGTCATTTGAAGGTTTGAAAATAAAAAGTATGCTGCTTCTACAGTGTTTCTAGAGAAGCAGAAGGTGACCAAACTGTAACAATGCCACTAAGATATTTAGACTTAACCCCATTTTATATGTTTTCCTAGCACCTGTATTTGGAATCTCCAAAGCAGAAGCTGGTAAAGTAAGTTTATTCAATAATAGTGGATTCAGATTACTAGTGTAAATTTTTTATCTGCATTTCTTCATCATATAAAAGCCTCTCAGAAGGTGGCTATTTACCCCTTTGTCTTTCCAAACACCTGGGCTAGCCTGGATCCCCTGGAAGGGCAACAGTCAAGTCACATTAATAATATATATATATTCCTCCTTTAGACTATAGGCAGAGATTTGAATTGAAACTAGTTTAAACTTTCTAGGTATAAAGCCAACATTTAATTTTGCCTAATTCCTAATGAAATTGGTTCAGTGCTTTATTTTCTGTGTGATGCAAAAGAAACTCTATTTAGATTTAGTTTGGCGTAGAACTGAGGTGGGCAGTATGTGGGTCAGTATGTGCCCTCAGGTTACTGCTGGGGCCCACACCTCACCCTTGGCACCAGCACTGGGTATGGTTGCCCTTCCAGCAGACATGGCTGTGGTGTCCCAGCAGTTCTGGGGAAGCTGTGTCTTGTTTCTCCACAGAATCAGGTTCCTGATAGCCCACAAGACAACTGCTTGTGGGGCTGGCCAGGGTGTGATTCTGCAGAGACGTCAGGCATGCTGGGGTCACAATCCTTGTTTCTGCACCGAATGGGCTCCTGACAGCCTGCCAAATAACAGCCAACCATAGCACAGAGGAAACGTAGGAAACCCACAGAGAATGCAAACCTTGAGGAAACTATCCTTCAAGCTAAATGTAATGTAGTTCCTGTAGGAAACCAAATGCTGAGTTAACTTTTAGACTAAACAATTTATTAATTATTTAAAAATAAGTTTAAATTTTTAATTAAAATATGTAATATTTAATTAACTTAAAATGCTTAGAGAAAAATGCATGCCTGAAGAGTTTAGCAGAAAATATCCCCTCCTTTGACTTGAACATTGCTCTAAGACCTCCAAATACCTACAGACTGTTGTTATGGGAAAGCCTGGCCAAGTTAACTAAAGTTGACACCGAATTAGTAGGGTTGTACCACTGTATGCAGTCCTTTCTGATGCTGTGGTCAGCTGTAATTTGTGGGAGGAATACACAAAAATGGCATTTGATCAATGGCTCTGGACACAGGGATGGGCAACATGCACAAAGCAAGCTAATTGTGGCCTGTTGAAAGCTCTGTAGCACTAATCTCATTCAAGGGATTTTCTTTTTGGATGCTCCATGGTTTATGGCCTCCGGGAGGCACAGAAGTGCCTTCTGGGGGAAACCAGTTGCCCACCTCTGCATTAAGGCAATGCTACTTGCAAGTTCTTTATTTCAAAGGGAAGCTTTGACTTGCCAGTTTAATCCAGCATTACATTATGAGCTCAGTGCACCCAGAGTTTTACAAAATGTTTATCCTGAGAAATGGTGCAGCAGCTAAACAAATTTTCTTTCCTCCCCCCCCCCCCCCCGCTCCCAATTGACTGTCACAGGAGGCTGGAGGCTAAAGCATTGGGAGAATGTCCTGCAGTAGTTGAGAGAGACACTTCTAACTTGGTTGTGAGGATCAGTTATTAGCAGCAGGGGCCGAAGAAGGTTCAGGAGAGGGGAGAGCATCTGTTGACAGAGGAGGAATTGCTGCATGCCGCTGATGGGGGATGCTCCCCCAGGGTCTCTTGCCTCTGATACTGACCTAATGGACTGTTAAGCCTGCCATGCCTCTTCATCATTGGTGACTGTTCTGGGGGAGAAGTCACAGATTAGATACCTTAAATGCAAATGGTTTCTGTGTTTGTTAATTAAAAAAACTGCTCTGTAACTTGCTATACTATGCCAAGCATTGGCTTTCCGAAGTATTTCGTTAACCTGGTTAAATGTTGCTGATGGGGAAATGACCTTGCAGATTAAAGGGCATTTGTGTTGGTAAATACTGAGCAGATCTGCCAGCCAAAAGGAGATGAGGGAGCAAGGGCCTGAGCCAGTAACTGGCCTGCTGTAGCATTCTTGCAACTGGGACAGAGGCTGGCTGTCCAGCTTTGGACATGACAGTGAATGGTGTGGCTTTGCCTAATATCCCATTTTCCAAAATTAAGGTTAATTGGTGTTTTTAATAAAATACCAGGCTTGGAAGGCATTTGTTCTAGAAAAAGGGGGAAAATATTGTCATCTATTATTGCAGCATTCAAGCTGCAAGGGCTTTATTCCTCCCCCTCCCCCCTTCAAATAAAATTAGATATTTGTCAAACTAGTTCTCCGTAGTTCTATTAAAACTTTAAAAAAATCAGGAAAGCTACAGAAACCCTAGGCCAGGGTTGCCAAGCTGAAGGGAGAGCCTCTGAGAAATAAACTGGGTTCAGTTAGTCCTGAAAAAAATGCCTTTCCTTTAAGGCCTGTTGACAAGCCTCAAATGCCATGCCTGTCCTTATTTGCTTATCAGATATAATGATGGAAGTTCACCCATTCTGCATTTGGAAAACATACTGCTTAAACAAAATGTTTAGAACAAATATAAGTTGAAAAATATCTTTTGTTAATCTATGCAGAACAGAAATATACTGTTGTGCTCTGTGCTTAATTCACTCTTAGGTTTAGTTCATGTTACATGTTTTGACAGGGTTTGTCTTGAGAGTGATTTCCATGTTTTTGATTCCAATGGAAGTGTGTAATCAATTGTTTTTGGAAGCTGAAATCTTTGATGAGTTGTTTCGTAAACAAGCTTGTTGCATGTGTAATACTCATTCAAGACATTCCAAAAAATATCTAGACAGAAGCAGATATTGGTTGTGGTAGAAAACTTAATCTTATTTGGGAGACCAATTTCTACATCATTTATAATGGGAAAATACACACAGTATTTGTATTCTGTGACAAGCTGAGGCAAACTCTCATTAGGGAGCTCTGTCAGAACTATTTCAGATTAGCTTCAGCTGTTGATATTGTACTGTGGGCAGACATGTCTTCTTCTACCTCTTGCTCTTTCTGGAACACCCACATCTGAAGTAAAGCTTCTTCTAGGAGCTTCCCATATCTAGAAAATGCACAAGCTGCCACTTCATTAGCATATTTGCATCTTTGAGGTGAAGGAATTTCAAAAGTAGCATTTCAGACAACAGAATGAACCATGTGACTCAAGGAATAGATGCTTTCATGGCACAAATAAATCACTTCCAGGCTGCATGCACATTTTGGGTCAGTGGATGTAACACTAAGCAATGGTATAGTGCCCCACGAATGGGCGTTAACCTCCTTTTTCCTCTTCTAACATGGCCATGAGGAAGAGTAACAGTGCATTTGCTTTCATTTTCAACTACTGCAGTTTGTTGTTCTGAACAAGCCAGTACATACTATGGTTTGTCCAAACAACTTTGTTCAAACTTATAATCCTGGCTTGTTCAGGTGACCCGTCATTGAAGTTCACTGTATTCCTTGGTTCAGACTTGACAACAAGCTGTGGTTAGTGGAAAACGACTCCTTGTCATGTCCCTGGAAGGGGAGAGGAAAGGGGGAGGCAGGCTTGTGCATGGAATATTAAACTATGGTTTAGGATTACATCCGAACACAGATGCTGTCTGGTTTTCCTACGTAGATCCTTGTTTAAAGATAAGCTCTCTTCTGGTGCTCCAGAATGTTAGGGTCTGTACCCAAGTAGGGGGCACAGGTGCAGCAGCTGCACCCACTCTGCCTTATAATTCTTGTCCCCCCCAATATATGGGGAGTGACTGAGTGTAACCAAAAGTCTTCTCATCCTTGGAGGCTCTCCGCATGATTCGGAAACCTTAAAAAAACTTCAGGATTTTAAGCCCATGGAAACCTTTCCTGACTAAAACTGTCTTCATGACCTTTCATTGCACACGATAACCATCTTCCTGTGACAAGAGTGCCAGTGGGAGGGTGGAGCTAGCGTGCTTGTCTGCACTTCTCCTCACCTGCTGGCATGCCTGAGTATGGTAATGCTGAATTCACATACTTACCAACACCATAACTTTCTTTCCATTTTTCTCCATGCATGAATCCAAGCAAATTCAATTTTGAGTCACTAAATAAGTTCACTTGGTTATATGTTGCAGATTACTACTATAGTATCACATGAATGTTAGAATGTGTGAAAGTATTATTGCAGTTTGCTTATGACAAGTGAAATAATCTCCTTTGTTACCAGAACTGTGAAGGTAGCTCACAGATGTTTATAGAGCCATTAGTTCATGTAAATTAATCATGTCTGCCCTCACATGGATAAGTAAAATGCTTGCAACTAGTCTTGGACAGATACTTGCACATTTAATGAAGGTATGTACAAGCATACCTCCAAAAAGGACAATCAGAAATGGAATGTCTTCAGTCCTAGTGTTTCTCATTGTCTCTGAGCAGTACATGAGCATTATGTTCAATGTTTGGTAAGCTCTCTACTACTAGGAGAAAATTGTGTTTTCTGTACCTAATATTTTTGAAATACTGTAAGCCTTGAGAAGATGTGGCTTAGTTGAAAGAGTTATGTAAAGTTTCTTTTTACTTTTGGAGCCATAGTTTATGTTTCTTGGAGGAAGTATGTAAGAAAGTAATCTGGTTTTGGCTGGCAGTTTTCTTACTAAACCTACCTTCCAAAATGGTCTGTATTAAAGATGGGCATTAGAAATCCTTACCATGCTTTTCATTCTTTATTTATTGTAATCCTTCTTTGACCATTCATTATTTGTTCCAGCCTAGACACTTTCTTATACAACCATAGCAAATAAATGGTATTCAAAATAATTAGCCTTGGGTCCATTTTGTAGATTTATTCTTTTAAAAGCAGGTTGCTTAAGCAACCAGTGGTTAGCCAGCTTTGGCACATTGTGTATCAGCTGGCTTGAGAATTGTTCATAATTGGGTAAGACCATAGAAATTGGTGGGTCTTAGTTATTGGTAACTTAAATCTCAGGTGCAGTGAATCTAGCCTGACTAAATCTGAACCCAATCTAGTATGTTTGCAGAACTTTTAGAAAAGGGAAATGCTATATCAGCATTATATTAGATCCAAAGGCACAAAACTATTATAACTGATAATATTTGTGTCTGTTCCCTTGATTGAGACATTTTATCCTATTCTAATAATTAGGAGAATCCGTATAGTGAGATGAAGAAGAACTAGCCTTACCAGAATTCAACTGCAAAACTGACAGAATTCTGCAGTGAGTCTCAGTATTCACAGTTAACACTGAACAGGTACCACAGTTAACACCTGTCGGTGAACAGGTACCTAGAATGAGTGGCTCGAGTCTGTGAAGGATGGATAATCATGCATTTACACTGTAGCAAAGGGTTTACAACCCAAATTGAACTTCCTTATAGTGTATTGGTCTCTTTCCCAGTCTGGGCAATAAGTGAATATTTTTCTTGTCCTCTGCAATGGTTGACCAAAGAGTTTGAGTCAATATTGCTCACCATTTATCTGGACATAACTCATCTCAGACTGAGATGCACCAACATTGTGTGTCACTAAGTATTTGTAAGGAACCTTTGGATTTGGTCCCCTATGTTCTGGGCAGTTACAATAAATTAATTAAATATGTCCACCATGTTCAGATACACGAAGGAAGTGCAGACAGCCCACCTTGTGGAGAACTGGTGGTTCAGTCACTCCTGCAGTACTGTGCAATTTTGAGTATTTTATTGTTTCGATATAAAGTGAACTGGAATGGAATGGTGTGAATTCACCAGATTCACCTTCAAACAGGTGGTTTCCTTTCCAGAATTCAAGAAAGCTTTTATAGAAAGGCTGTTGAAGTATTTCATTTTCTTTAGAATCCTGGGCAAAATTCACCAAAGTAAAGCCTTAGACCCAAATCCAAAAAGGTTTGCTTCCAGTTTGCCTTCTTGCAAGGACCTGTGCAGCCCAACAAACTCCCAGTGACATTCAGGACAGTTTCTAACATTCTATAGGAAAGTCTGCCTGTGTGCGCGCAAGCTTCCACGTGCCTGTCCAGAGATGGACTGGACTGTAAACTCAAGCTTTCAGCATCAAAATCACAGAGATGCCATATCTGTCTGATTTACCTGGTCCTGCTTTGTATGATTAGGCTTTGAGGCTTGATGAAATCACCTATTTTTGCATGCTTTGGAGCATAAAAACGGGATGGAGAGATGGAGCTTCTTCAGCAATTAGCAAGCCCAACTGCATGGCTTGCAATTCTGAATTGGGATTGGTTGGCTTGCAAGTTGTGGAGCTAAGCCTCAGTGGCCGTCACTTTAAATCATCTCCTTATAGCCATCTGTAAGATCATATCTCAGCCCTGATGATCATGTCTCTAGTTCTCTATAGTGATACAATTCCTGCCTGCAAAGATGGTAAACTGATTCCAAGCTCTGAGGTACTTCAAAACAGCAAACAAAAAGTTTAAAGAAAAATCTCCCTTTGTATTCCACAGAGTTTACAGATGCTTCCTCAACAACGAAAGGCTATTGCAAAATTTAAAGAACCAGCAGATGCTTTGAAATTTCAGCAGAAGTTTCACAGGTAAACATTCTTCCAAATGCATATATATTCTCTTATATAAAATATCTTAGACTCATTTCCCAAGCAATCCACTACATGAAGCTTTCTTGAGAAAGTAGCTCTGTTTAACTTAGACCCAGCTCAGATATCACCAAGGTGTTCGGATAAGCCATGGTTACTGGAGTCTTGTGCCCATGCACCTGGCTTTGTTATTGGTTTAGCTTTGCTTAATCTAAGGGATGAGTTGGGATGAGGGCCAACCATCTAAATGTAGCTGTGCATCTCAGATGGAGAGGCATCTGCATTATCTTTGAATATTTGTAGCTCATGCTTGGATTTAGTCCTTCTGTAATGAAATAACTAAATATGCCTGCCATGTTCAGACACTTGAAGAAAGTAGCAGACACTCCATCATATGGAGAACCTTCCTTCCTTCCTTCCTTCCTTCCTTCCTTCCTTCCTTCCTTCCTTCCTAGCTAGCTAGCTAGCTAGCTAGCTAGCTAGCTAGCTAGCTAGCTAGCTACAGTAGTAGATGAAGAAACCATTAAACTATATCCTTTATTCTTTGATATATTGGGTATTTTATTGATTTGATATAAAATGAGCTGTATCTTAGAGTTGGGATGGAATTGTGTGAATCTGCCCAACAGGCAAATGGCTGTTGCCTTCCAGAATTCAAAGAAGCTTTGTCAGGGGTTATTTTTTCCCTATAAAAACCATCAAAATGTTTCTAGTTGGTTCATTCTTGGTCTGACAAGCCAGGGCTATTCCTGAACCAGGGTGTCTGATAAATGTACATGGCAAGAAACATTTCCATGGCGGCGTAAAAGTTGATACCTCTGTTAGAACATGCTTGTCTTGACAGTTGTATATTCCCCTTTTTCCAGGCATATGATAGATTTGTCCCACATCAACGTGGCACTGATAGTGGAGTGACCTGCTGAACAGGAGTGTCCGTATTATGTGACAAGTAGCATCTTGCGGAGGAAGTCACAAGGGCTGGATCTCCCTGTGATCTCCAGGTCCAACTCTGCAGTATCCCTTTGGGACTCCAGGCTCCTCCGTGACCCTACAGGCAGCAACAGCATTGCTGCAATGGAAGCTCATTATACAAGGATTAAGAAACAGATTCATCCTCACCTTCTCTGAGTGTACTAAACCCTTGGAACTATAGGTCCCACCCTCATGTGCGAAGAGCACACACAGATACTTTGCAGGAGTAAATTGTGTGTTCACAGTGACTCAGATGGAAAGAACACTAACTTTGAAGGGTTTTTTTTTAATGTTTCTTCATAGAAAAGAATATTTGATAATGGTTGCTCTTATCTTCAGCATAGGGTGCTTACATAAAGAATGCACCAATACCTACCTTTTGTAGCAAAGTAGGTACATACATATAACATGTAGAAAGAAACACAGGCTACATAATTTTGTTGGTCTTTTGCCAAGAGGCTTCAGAGCGCATTCATATTCCCTGTGGGGTCAAAGTGGTTCTTTGCGACACAGAGTCCCTCACCTACCAGCAACAGCCTTTCCTTTCTAACGTTGCTTTGCAGGAATGACCTTGCCGTTTTGCCCCGTAGGCTTCACAAGCAGTGTTGTTTTCACCCTCCTAGAATCTCTGAAGGACGTAGCTTTTAGGGGTTTTTTATTACAGCTTTTATTGTTTCCAAGGGTGATTACAAGGTGCTGAGCCAATGTGCGTGTGTGTGTGTCCGGGGGGTTTGGGTGGGTGGGGGGACATGTTTGCAGTAGTGCACAAAGAAACAAGGTCCATTCCTGTCAGGCTGCTATTGTGAAATGTACCACTGATGCTTGCTTCTTGTAATCTGTTACTTTTATGAGCGTCTTTTCTTAGAATTTTTCCTGTCTAATAATTTGTAGCAAAGACTGCACAATGGCAGAAGCTGTTGAATCGTACTGTAATTTCCTTGTCCCATGCAACATGGAATGATGAGGACTTTTCTTCCCTGAGAGGGGGCTGATCTAAAAGGATGCAGGCAGAGTATAAGGAAGACAGCGTGTAAAATGTGTCCCCCATGTCCTGCTAGCATCTTCCAAAGGAAGGCTTATTTTGTTAACAAAAGCGTTTAGTACCTAATTTGCTTTGGGTGCATGTATTTATCTGTTGAGGGAGGGGGTGTATCTTCCTTAATTATTTCTAGAAATATATTTCAGTGCTAATGCATTAGGTGTCAGAAAAATTATGGCTATGGATAATTTAAAAACTGACTGCAAGCATCTTTTAATTTTTTTAAAGGAGGCTAGAATGAAAATGACAGAGCAAGCAGAAGAATAGTTGTTTGAAGAGTATTGTTCTTTAAAGCCTGCATTTTATGTGAGATGCAGAGGTAGTTGTGTTTCTTCTTTGATCATTTAAAATCAGTCTCTACCAGGAGGTAGACTTTTAAAAATTGCGTTCCCAACCTACTGGGAATAAACAAGCTAAACATATTGGCTCATGTCTTTTCAAGGCAGAGTTGGTTCCTTTCCCCAGTGAAAATATTGCAGGAGTAGTTTAATTGGTGTGTTGTAGTAAATGTATGGTCATTTTAAATGCATTTTAATGAATAGCTAGTAAACACCATTTTCATCCTTGCTGAGTTCCTGGCCTTGAATTTGACTGTAGAACCATGTCACAGAGGTGAGTTTTAACACCCTTTATTGTTCATAGGATATTAATTTGGATGAAACAACTGGAATTTTGGTTTATTGTGGGATGTTGGTTGAGTTTTCCTTTGATCTGGGTTACTTTAAAACATACAGGGAGCAGGTGCAAAATGGAGCCATATCACGCATAACTGAACCAATCTGCAAGTGAGTTTTGGCCCATCTGCATAGTTAAGCCCGACTTTTCAGTTTTGTATTTAAGAACATTTCTAAATCTTGGATCTTTATCTCACAGTTAAAGTATAGCTTTTCCAGAATAAATGAACTTATATATTTATACATGCTCAAAAGCCAATATCTGGAAAAGGGCTTGGTCCAAATTGTGTTTGAACTGTATGGAAAGTGGCAACTTTAAGGAGCTTGACCCAGTAGAAAGCAAGGCTTGGTTGCTTCCGCGGACCTTGACGTACAGGTGCTTGCCACAAGAGGAGCGAGTTTCATAGTGCCTGAACAACCCAGTCCACTATTCAGAGCTGGGAGAATCCATTTGCTGATGTCAGCAGGACCTTGATTAGAATGGATGACTGCCAAGCAGCTAAGAGAGATGCTCGGGTTCCTTATTGTTGGAAGCTTCTCTCCCCCCGAAATAGGCCCTGTAGCACCGTGGTGCCTACGGCATGGTTGGAACCGAGGTGTGTTTGCCCCAGCCGAGGTGTGTCTGCTGGTGTCATTACGAGTGATGGTGCGTCTTGTTGCTGTGCGGCATGGTGTGCACGTGTGTTCAAGAAGAGTTGTGTGCTGACCCTGCTTTGGCTGTGGGAAAGAGAAGGATCCTCACATGCTTCTGATGCCTTTCCTCACTAGCCAGGGGACCCTGGTCTGGGTGGCAGGCACCCACTGTCTAGGTTCGGTTATTGTTAAGATATGTTGATACCTTAACTGATGGATGCTAACACAGGACTGGGTTTGTTGGCAAGATCACAGTGTGGCTTTTCTACTTTTTGAGGCACCTTCCACAAAAACAAAATCATAGCAAAATAAAAAATTTGAAATATAGGAGGCCCTGTCCTTTGTACACTTCATGGCCCATCACCACTTCATTTTTCTAGAAGATCTGTTGCAACCATTATCTTGTTCTTTTTGTATCATGCGTTTAACATAAGATGTGAAATGCAGGAATTGCATTTAATGTATTATGTAAATATGGACTTCTTAACAAAATTTAAATGAAAATGTTCATGTGCTTACAATTCAACTACATCAAAGCTTATTAGGCAGGGTGGGGATGAAGGCAGTTGTGTTGTCTTATCAAAGTTGAATGGAAACATTTCCATTAATGTTCATTTTTTGTGTAATACTTCAATTTTTTATAAAGATGCTAGTAAGTCAATACATGTATCCTGACCAGTGTATTATTTGTTCATAAAGCTTCAGAAGCTTGATTTTGGTATGGCTATTTAGCCAAGAATTGCTATAGGTGGAACAATCTTTTCTCTCTTAGTAATACTTTCCTTTTATTTTGCAACATTTTCTAGTTCACTTTACTTTTTATGTCCTTGCCAATGAAAAAGTGAAGCCAAGTGATGTGCAATTACTGGGGTACTGATAACATCTCCAGAGTTAAAGATCAAATGGGAAACTACAGTATCCATTGTTTTTACATGGGTTTTTGTTTTATTTTGTTTTGTTTTTTTACTTTGAGCTTGGGAACATTTTAGATTGGGATAAAATTTCATAATTTTATTTCATGAGGAATATACATCAAATAGATAATAGTGTTTCCATCAAGGCTGTGAAATATTCTTCATCTTTGTGCCTAAGGCTGCCTTGGGAGTTTGCCACACTACAATTACTGTGTTTAACACTACTTCCAGCTATCAGAATTGTTAAAATATTGATCGTTAGGGATAGGTGATCCACTGGCGTCCATTTAAAACTAAATATATTTCTGTCAGGTCTTAAACTCCTGAGGTTTTTAAAAGTTAAATATAATTGGTTAGAGAAAAGTATATGGAGGCAGTCTATAGCCCACATCACAGTTGCTCAGTTGAATATTTCTAACATCCCATTGAATTAAAAAGAGAGAAATAATTGGCTTGTGAATTATAGCTCCTAGGTCAAGGGTGGGGAATGTGACCTTCCAAATGTTGTTAGGCTGCAGCTCACATAAGTCCCAGCCCACATGGCTGATGGGTGTTGCAGTCCAGCAACATCTGGAAGGCCCCACATGTTCCTCAGCCCTATTCTATGTGCTATAATGAATGCCATGAAGTATGTGGCAGGAGTAGCTCACTAGTGGAAAAAAATTAGGGTGAGTTTATGCAATCATTCCAATGAAGAAATGTCAGCATAAGGTGTCACTCCCCCCGCTCATTCTTCCCTGGTCGCATTTTTTAATGAATGTGCTCAAGAAAGAATCCGGCTGATTTTGTGTGGCGTGAGTGCTTCATTTTCACGTGGAGCGTGTATCCTAAAAGTAGCAACCACAGACGTAATGAGGGGGTAGAGTGACCTTGTGGTGATACTATTCCCTCCTAAAGATTTATACTACAAATGGACTCTTTTTAGCGTCATCAAAACTTTACTTGTGACTTTTGCCGACAAAGCAATGGATCTTAATAACTCACTTTTTGGAGATCTAGCCTGAAACTTCTAGCTGACATGAGGAAATCTGATTAACTATTACCCACGGGAGTCATGTTAGATATTAGTTTAGTACTGAATATTTTAGCACTTCATTTAACATATATGCTGCTGTTCCAATTTGCACAATTGTATCTATGATCTAGAGTAGCTTTGAATGGCCAACACTTTTCCAGGACCTTTTCTGTATATTCCCAAGTGTTAGGAAAAGAAATAAGATGATTTTCCCCATTCCAAACATTTCCTCTGTTACAAGTGCTCTTACCTGGTCTTCCATGTTCACTGAAGGACAAAGTTTTGGTTTTTGGTTGTTTGCTTTAATCACCTGCTTAAAAGCTTTCTCACTCTCTTCTAAGCTTTATTTTGCAGCGGCCATTTTGGACAAAAAAGAAGGGTTGGAGAACTCTTAAATGGCACCAGAAAGTGCCGTTAGACATCTCTAAGCTATCAACTGGTTGGGGTCTGCCTACGGGATGTTTCACAAGGGCCAGTATTACGTATCAAGATTAATTTGACAGTATCAATACTGTGAAAAGAGTATTGAGAAAAAATTAAATCCTAAGGATTTTGTGTAAGGTTTTGTAACCTATTGATTTTTTTAAGCCAAGCACACTTATCTATATAAGCCTAGGGGGCCTTATGTACTGACCACTGATTCATATTGGATCTCATGTATACCATCTTCTGGTACTATAAATACGGTTGGGAAGGATCATTTTTTATTTTGTGATATTCGAAGGCTCTGTTCCTAGTTTCCATTATCATTCTTGGTAGCTGTGCCTCTTCCACCCTACTTGAGAGTTTCAGTGAGAGTGCAAGGGTTTGGTTTTGTTCTTTAAAAAGCACCTAATTTCTTCTTTTCACCTTTGGTTTAGATGTCTAAAAAGAAGGCAACACCTGCTCATTTTTTCAGCAAGTCTCTGTTAAAGGTTATTATTCAGATTAGGAAGCTAAATCCCTAAACGTAATAATACATTTAAATGGTGCATCTGAAGGGTGTGTGTGAATGCATTCTATAGAAATTGTATCTGTTTGGAGAAATCCATATTATCTATAAAGTTGTATAATTGTGTTTACCTAAAAATATATCCATTTATTTCTGGTCTTTTTGGATATGTCTGAATCTTCTTCTCTCTAACATTATGTAACTAGAAAGAAAATTACTGGTTTCAATAATCAGATATTTTTCTCTTTATAGGTATGGGTGGTTGGGAAGTTGATTTCCAGCCCATCTCCAAGCTTAACCTGGAAATTAATGCATTTCTTTTTACAGGTGCAAGAGATGCATCAAACTCATTCACTTGCAGCAAACATTCAGACTCTCCTGTCTTATGCAATTTTAGCAATGTTTAACTTTCCTTTATGCTCACCACCTGTTTTCCTCTTTTATCATTCCTATAGCACTTTTCAGTTCACCAGTCCAGTAGTTCTCAACTTACTGGGCCTCACTGCAGACATGTGA